CAATGACATGATCTTTTCAAAGTTTTTCAGTCTTTCCTCTCAGTGTCAGCCCTCAAAGTTCATATATATTGGCTGAATTTCAACATACAACCAAAACACCCCTCTGTTCTCTACCCCACTTAGTACAATCCGGTTCCCCCTTCTATAAATCAAATTGGATTCACCCACATCCTGTTTGACAGTCTGACCCTCACCTTGGTTTGGAGGCAGCACGAGAGACATGACTGGGAGCACATGCTACAAACATTTGGGTAACTTCAATTAATGAAATATCACAAACAACTATGAAAATAAGTAACATCAAATGCCTTTGTGTAGCTCTTCCATTAACTTCCAAGTCATGTCAAAGGAAATCAGAAGTGAGTAGTCTCAAATTCAAAATAACCAAATTATTCACAGTAGCTAATTTGGCAGGCTGAGTTAGCCCCACATGCTCAAGCTTCTGTGTTGACTTTCAAACATCTTAGCTGGTGATATCATTGATAGGAAATATTGGAGAGGCAAAGAAAACTCAAAACAAAAGGTCCAGAGGGAAGGACGGCCTGTAGTTCTTTAGTCAGGAATTTTACACATTTCATTCGTGTTTGTGTGAACTTCAGGTCTTCTCTGGCCCGTTTTCTCTTGTCATTCAGCAGCCTGGACAGAAAACGTATATAAATAACATTGACAAAACATATTAAGCTGTGCTCCATCCAACTATGAACTGCAGCTTTGTATCCTTCTCCTGGTCCTCAGCCTTCAGTTTCTCATAGTCTGACATGAGGCTCTCCTTCTCCTGTAACAAACCCTGGTTAACACTGTGAAAGAAACACAAATGCACACAAAAGTTAAACATTTTCATTTGACTTTGTATGCGTGCACTTCTCCCACCATGTGTTTGGTCAACATGTTCTATAAATGTCAAGCCAAAAATGTCAAAAAAAAAAACCCTTTCAAAGGTATTAATTTGCAAATGCAAAACCTTGCAAATTGGTCAGGAAAAGATAGAGAAAATATCCATGTCCATGTGATTCAACAAAAAAAAATAAAAACCTCAACTTAAGGTCCAATTTACAGCTTTTTCTGGAGCTTTGAAACATGTGTAACACTTACTCACATGCAAGACACTGAAGTGAAGAGCAAATGTTACTGGTGAAACCCAGAGCTTTTAAGCCTTCACACAGCCCCCAACAGCCTCTTTTGATTCACTGTGTAATAGCTATATATAATAAAAACTCTGATGCTGCTGATTTTCTGTCTCACAACCCCCCATCTTTTCCCATCCCTGTGGTGCTCTCAAAACTGGCAACAACAGGAATCGAACCAGAGTCTTTGAAAATGCTGACTTAGAGTCATGAACAATTCCACCACACCACGAGTCCCACTCACATTGGGACTTGCTTTCGGCACGCTTTTGACATTACACTTTGGATGTTGGACTTGAAAACTCATGGACTGACCTGGGTTTGAACCCATGACCTCAAAAAGTCTGTGCAGGTGTTTAACCCATTGAGCTACCAAGCCAGACAAAATTAGAGCATCTTTCAAAAAGCTTTACAACCTCTCAGTCTGTTGAGTAGCCCTCTAACTCCTTTAGCCAGTCAGTCAGAAGTAAAGAAAGCATTTTTATCAAGGCTTTTCAGTCTGTCCTCTGTGTGTTGGTCCCAAAAAGTAGTAAAATCAAACAAGCTTTGAACGCCTAACCTCTGAGTCTATAGAGTAACCCTCTAACCCCTTAAGCCACTGATTTAGAGATAATGATACCATCTTTCTCATGGTCTTTCAGTCTGCCACTCAGTCAGAAGTAAAGAAAGCATCTTTATCAAGGCTTTTCAGTCTGTCCTCTGTGTGTTGGGCCCAAAAAGTCGTAAGATCAGACACGATTCGAACTTTCAACCTCAGAGTCTAGAGAGTAACCCTCTAACCCCTTAAGCCACTGACTTAGATGCAAAGACAGCATCTTTCTCATGGTGTTTTAGTTTTTCCTCTGCGTGTTGGTCCCAAAAAGTCATGAGATCAGACAAGATTTGAACTTTCAACCTCAGAATCTATGGAGTAACTCTCTAACCCCTTAAGCCACTGACTCAGATGCAAAAACAGTATCTTTCTCATGGACTATTAGTCTTTCCTCTGTGTTGGTCTCAAAAAGTAGTAAGATTAAATGAGATTTGAACTCCTAACCTCTGAGTCTATAGAGTAGCCCTCTAACCCCTTAAGCCACTGACTCAGATGCAAAGACAGTATCTTTCTCATGGTCTATTAGTCTTTCCTCTGTGTTGGTCTCAAAAAGTAGTAAGATTAAATGAGATTTGAACTCCTAACCTCTGAGTCTATAGAGTAGCCCTCTAACCCCTTAAGCCACTGACTTAGACACAAGGATGGCATCTTTCTCATGGTGTTTTAGTCTTTCCTCTGTGTGTTGGTCCCAAAAAGTAGTAAGTTCAAATGAGTTTTGAACTGTTAACCTCTGAAATCTACAAAGTACCACGCTAACCCCTTAAGCCACTGACTTAGAGATAAAGACAGCATCTTTCTCATGGTCTTTTAGTCTTTCCTCTGTGTGTTGGGTCCAAAAAGTGGTGAGGTCAGACAAGAGTTGAACACACAACCTGTGGGTCTACAGAGTAACCCTCTAACTCCTTGAGTCACTGACTTAGAGATAAAGATACCATCTTTCTCATGGTCTTTCAGTCTGTCCTCTGTGCGTTGGTTCCAAAAAGTAGTAAAATCAAGCAAGCTTTGAACTCCCAACCTCTGAGTTTATAAAGTAGCCCTCTAACCCCTTAAGCCACTGACCCAGACGCAAAGACACCATCTTTCTCATGCTGTTTTAGTCTTTCCTCTGTGTGTTGGTCCCAAAAAGTAGTAAGATCAAATGAGATTTGAACTCCTAACTTCTGAGTCTATAGAGTAGCCCTCTAACCCCTTAAGCCACTCAGTCAGAGGTAAAGAGAAGCTCTTTCTCAGGGCTTTTCAGTCTTCCCTCTGTGTGTTGGTCCATAAAAGTAGTAAGATACAAATAGAATTGAACTCACAACCTCTGAGTCTGACCGAGTGGCTTAAGGGGTTAGACTGCTACTCTAGAGACTGAGCGTTTGAGAGTTCAAATCTTGTTTGATCTTACTGCATTTCAGGACCAACACACAGACAGAGTGAAAAGCTTTGGGAAAGATGCTCTTATTGTGTCTGGCTTGGTAGCTCAATGGGTTAGATACCTGCACAGGATTTTTGAAGCCATGAGTTCCAGGCCAGGCCAGGCCAGTCCATGGATTTTCAAGTCCAACATCCAAAGAGTAATGCTCCCAACACGAGTGGGACTGGTGGCGTGATGCAATTCTTTGTAACTGGCGAGGAAGGCAAGGTGGGAATTTCAAACTGACTCTGGTTCAAATCCAGTCATTGCCAGGTTTTAGAGCCCCACAGGGCTGGGACATAAAATCAGTTACAGCTGAATTTTTATTATATATGGCTATTACACAGTGAATCACAAGAGGCTGTTGGGAGCAGTGTGAAGGCTTTAGAGCCCTAGGTTTTGCCAGTAACATTTGCTCTTCACTTCATTATCTTGCATGCGAGCAAGACTTACACGTTTCAAAGCTCCAGAAAAAACTGTAAATTGGACCTTGAGTTGAGGTTTTTCATTTTTTTTGTTAAATCACATGGATATTTTCTTAATCTTCTCCTGACCAATTTGCAAGGTTATGCAGCAGGAGAAGGATACAAAGCTGCAGTTCATAGTTGGATGGAGCACAGTTTAATATGTTTTGTCAATGTTATTTATATAAGTCTGTTTTCTGTCCAGGCTGCTGAATGAGGAGACAAAAGGGGCCAGAGAAGACCTGAAGTGCACACAAACACAAATGTGGTGTAAAATTCCTTACTAAAGCACTACAGGCCGTCTTCCCCTCTGGACCTTTGTTTTGAGTTTTATTTGCCTTTTCCTACACTACGTGATGTGTTGTCCAGGTGGTCCAGAGGGTCCAGACAGTTGAGCAAAGGTGACATGACAGAAGCTGGTCAGAGCTGAGGCCTGCTGATTGAGCCATGATCCTTCTGTGAAAAATGAAGATGGATAGAAGGGTTACATGTGACACTCCTATGAATGATCATCATATTTTTTTTCTCATCCTGATATAATTACAGTGTTTTAAGTTTCAAGACACTTAAGGGATCCATGTTTTTCAAATAATGTGGACCCGTCACTACACACCTACAGTACGTCATCTCCTCATCTCCGAAACCGGGACATCTGCATCAAAACAACACATGCACATGTACTGACAGACAGACTCTCTAGGCTAGGGTGGGTACTCTGCACTGTTTTACTGCCTCACATTTAAGCTGTTTCCGATCTGATTTAAAGTGAAGAGGTTATGTATGATTTTGGATTCAATGATCAATAGTTTTGTGTGTTTTGTACTGTTTTGTTTCTTTCTTGCCTCCCTCCTTCTCTGACAGTTTCTGATTTAATGTTGAAGTTCCAAGTCGTCAGCATGCAAAGAAGACACTGAGCAGAGTACATATGCAATAGATTATCAAACTGTTAGAGTCTGAGCACAAAAACGCCTCACAATAACAATGAAACCACATGATTTCCATCTTGTGAAAATAGAAAAAAGATATTAGAAAGCTTTTAGAGAGACTTCTCCTCTCAAAATGAATCAGAATATAGAAAAGTTTTGAATAAAATTTAATGACTGGTCTGACTTTTCTCCTGTCCCTGTTTGAGTCAAAGTCAAAGTCTTGTATATTTCAATTAGAATTGTAATCTGATATTTTGTCATAAGTTATATTTTTAGAGACAATAGTTATTTTATTGCTTTTGGCTGTATTATTTTTTTTATTTTACCTGCATGGGTCAAATTCAAGGGGAACAACAGATAACAGTGAAGCATTGCACTTCCTCCCTGTGAGAGAACCATACATGGAGTGGATGGAAATCTCTTGCATAACCCCAACTTCAATTTCCAGAGAATCTCTTCCAACATGTTTGGCATGCGGCCTTCAGAGGGAGGGTGTATCTAGGAAGGAAGTGAAGTTTTAAACAAATGGGCTGGGGCTCTCACTTTAACAACAATTTTCCAGACTGAGGGTGGGTAAGTTGTAACCTTTTTTTCTCCTGTATCTTAACTGTATATTCATACAGAGGTAGAAAAAGCGTAGAGGTAATTCTATTGTTTGTCTGCCAGTAGCTTGATGTGATATAAACTTTTAAAGAAGGATTTTTACACTGTTGTATTTCTGTTTTTACTTGTATAGAAGATCTGAGTCTGATGGGTTTGTAAAACTATCTGCACAACAGGACAATAAAGATTAGATTTAAAATAGACCAGATTGTTATGTTATGTCTTTGAGGAACATCTTACATAGTGCAGTGGTCTAAGGTACAAACCCTGTAAGCATAATGTCCCTGGTTTGATTCCTACAAGGTGTTTTTGTTGTATATGTTGCTCCGTGACTGACTGACTGTTATGAGTGAAAAAGACTGATTAGCTGACACAGGAAATAGGAGGAGTTAATGTGCTGTTCCCACACATGTAGACTGGACTCATGCTATTGCAACAAATTATTGCACAAGCAAAGATACACACTGTTTTCTGCATAGCCTTATGTTGTCACAAAATATCCCAGTGTTCGTCTCTTGAGAAACTGAGAGATGGAGACATGTATGATGTCCCTTCCTTGACAGTACAACAGAGGCCATGAAGAGCCAGAAGCTGGGTTTCCTGAGCAGCCTGCTCTTCAAATGGCAGTCACAGGCAACTTTTGTTGGTAACTTTCACCACATTTCTTTGACTTTTAACATTGGGAGATTCAGTGTTTATGGATTAGTATGAATCATAATGGACATCCCTTTCTCTCAGGTAAAGCAATGCTGCCTGTGTTGCTGCTCATCAGGCTGGTGACACTGGGAGCAGCGGCTCAGACAGCCTGGCTGGACGATGAGAGGGAGTTTATCTGTAACAGCCATCAGCCAGGCTGTGATGTTGCCTGTTTCAATGAGGCCATGCCTCTTTCTCCTGCACGTCTGTGGACAATACAGGTGGAAATATTCAACAACAATTTAACAACTTTTTGTGCTCCTAAATTATGTATTTCATATTAACAGATATATATATTAAGAGATATAAAATATCTGTTATTTTTTCAATCTTACAGAGTCAAAGTTACCCTTTTTTGAAAGATTATAAAATCTGACATGGTGATGAAAACTGTAGCTCACTGTTTTAAGGTTTCAAGTTCAACCCTAATTTAAATGTGATTTTGAAAGTTGGAGACTCTGTTGGTGACTGAAATGTTTGGTTAAAGTTTGAACCCTGTGGTAATTAAGCCCTGTGTAATTAAGTTTTTAATGTTTGGCTGTTAATTAGCTTTTTGGAAGGTGAGGGGTCGATCCTGAGTCAATCACTAACATTTAAAGTCAGAGTCTGGTGAGGATAGAAAACCCACTGGTGAAAATCCTCTGCTGACTCACCCGAAAGCCATCCCCTAGAGGAGAGGTTGAAGAGTGCACAGAGAAGTTCTCTGAGTGTGAAGGGGCCCCAGTGGTGTGGTAGTCAGCATCTGAGGATAAGATGTGGCTGGTTTGATTCCCTCCCATCTATCAGCTCCTGAAAGTAGACACTCACAATTAAGCTATATCAAGGCTCTATAAATTATTACAAGCTATTACAATTTGTTAATCATTCACCATTTAACCCATACACATCAGGGTAACTTTCCAACACAGGGTCAGATTAACCACCCTTTTTTCGATCATCTCGATTTAAAAAATCTGTTGAAAGACCAAAGATTGAATCTGTGACATTTAAACTTAATTGCAGCCGAGCAATCAAATGGTTCCTGGGTTGTTTCAATCTTCAGCAGTGTGTCTGACTTTTTAAAAGCCACTGACTGACTGAGGACTGAACCAAAAACTTTCAAACCTCCATAATGTTACTTAACAGGTTGAACTACTGGACCAGGTCTAATTTAGTCAGAGGATTTCAATCTTTACTTAAGCTCTTTGATATTCAACAGGCAAGTGTAATATTTGCTTTTAAAACTGATCCAAAGAGACAAATTTGAACTTTGAAAATGGTCACTGTGGTGCTTTTTTTCTTTTTGTAAATAATTTTGTCTTTCTTGTCATTTCAAAAAATTGTCTCATGAGACTGACATCTAAATTAGATTTATGTGAACAAAAATCATCCTCTCTTCCCTCACCCTTTGTACTGTACATACTAAACACACTGTGCTAAGGAATTAAAATAACATCAACACAAATTTCTCCTCAGCTGCTTCTGGTTTTGGCTCCTGGTCTTGTTTTCCTCTGCTACCTGATCCACCTCACTAACCAGGAAATCCAGGTGAGGAGAACAACTTATGTCAAATGGAAGGATAGTAATTTATAAAACTTACAGATGAAGCTGAGATAATGTATATTTTTGACAGGCACTTGCCTTCAATTTAAAGGTTAGCATTAAACACTTGAACTATTTCCATTTGTTTTCACTGTTTTCAAGTGTTGTGCAGTAGTTTTTGTGCTTTGCTTTGTGGGGTTTGGACATTTTTATGCACATACAGTCAAATGTTGCGCGATTACATGCATAAAAAAACAACATTAAACAGTTCTATTCCTTTTAAGGTGAGGACAAGAAATGAGGAGGTCAAAGGGCACGCTCTGGGGGTGTACCTGGCCTGTATGGCTTTTGTCATACTGGTAGAGGTGAGACTTACACACACTTACAAAAAAAGTTAACATTACAGAATATCAGAAGGTTTGATTTTTGGATTTAAATGCTTTTCCAGATATTCTACTTTGATTCAAACCTTAATTCCTCTCAAGATCATTTATGTTGCCTAGATAAGAACGCTGTGTACAAAAAGGACTGTACTTTTGAGTGTAACATTTAGCTAATTCATCTTTTTGTTTTTTTTAATAAAGAGAATAATAATTGACTCTAAACTTTATTTTTCTCAGCTTCAGGTTTATTGTAGTTGCTGCTTTCTGCCTTTGTAGAATAGTATAGACTGTTCTACAAAGATTGTTCAAATGAGATAATCAGCTCAGAAAGTAGAAGTATAACATTTTCAAAATAACAAATTAAATATGATGGTAAAGTGACATTGTCATATTTACTAAATCAAAACAATGTTCTAATCTAATGTAAACTGATGTAAACTGTAATTTAGGGTAAACTGTAAACACTAGTTTTATTTGCAGATGAGAAAAAACATCTGCCTTTAACATTCAAAAATTGATTTAGTCATCATGTCTCTTCACATCCAAGAACAAGATGCTAAACTTTAATGAATTATGTTTTCATTGCAGGTTGGATTTATCGTGGCACAGTCATTGCTCTATGGTTTCTGGGTAGATACTCACTATATGTGTCGAGCATCTCCGTGTCTTTCCGGAACAGACTGTACCATTCCCCATGCATGGGAGAAGACAATTTTCCTGGTTATAATGTTGACAGCATCCTGCATCTCCCTCCTGCTGAGTGTGGTGGAGCTGGTTTGTGTACTGCTGAGAGCCAAGGCGAGGCACGGACAGCCGGATGGTGCAAAGGCTCTACAGTCGTGGTCAGGGGTCGAGGAGAGTTGGAGTTTCCTAAGTCAGCTGCTGGCCCTGTGGCATTCCCATGCTGGTCTCTTGGGTACTGAAAGGAAATAACAAGCGAGACAATTTAATACAATCAATGAGTTAATAAAGATACATAAAAAGATGATAGTAATTATAATTAAGATAATTAAGCAAATAAAACAAATAAAAACTGAAAAACTGAAAATGATCAAATTCACTGCAAAGAATCTGCAATGAGAAATGCAGCAGGTTTACAATATATCCAGAATGTGCAATATATTAGATATGTAGTACAATTATGTAAATAAAGGGGTAGCATGCATGAAGTTAAAGTACAATCACTTTACATCACCCCTCACTTCAACACTCAGCATTTAAGACTCAAAGGGTTTGTTTGTCATACGCTCATATAGTAGTAGTGTAATGAGAGACAGGGGGAATAGTCCTGATAGTAGTGTGCAATAAAACATCAAAATCAAAATGATTTAATAATTATCAGGCTAAACATAATATGTAGTGGTATATGTAATCTGACTCTGTTTTTGTCTCTCAGGTAAAACCATCCTCCCAGTGTTGCAGCTGATCCGGCTTGTTATTATCGGGGCAGCGGTGCAGCCAGTCTGGCACGGAGATTTAGGAGACTTTGTTTGTAACACTATCCATCCAGGCTGCAAACAAGCTGGGTTCAATGAAATCTTCCCCTTCTCTTTGCGAAATTACTGGACACTGCAGGTATTAAGTTTTCAAAGATTATAATCAAATATTTCCGAATAGAAACAATAGTGTAGAGCTTTGTTCTCTTTTAGTACTAAAACATATTTCTAGGTGTCAAGTCATACACTATACAAAAGCTTGATTCAAATTTTATTCATTAATATTCACTTTATCTACAGGTGCTTCTCGTTTTGGCTCCTGGTCTGATTTTCTTCTGCTACTTGATCTACATCATCATCATGAAAGAAACGGTGGATAACATAAGACTTTGCTACACTAATAGCCTAAAATAAAATAAAAGTTGACCATATGGACCTTTTCTGTTGCTGGATCTGCTGTTTACTCTCTTTTTTGTCTGTCTGTTATTGCACCTTATGGTAGTTTTACTCGTTTTTTTCTTCTCTCACTGCTTTCCTTCCAGAGAAGCCCAGAAACTTGGGTTAAAGGTCAAGTACTGGGGGCGTATTTGGGCCTCTTGACAGCAGTTGTTCTGGTGGAGGTGAGTGAGAGGCAGGAGTGGAAAATGCTGTAATTAATCTGCATTTTTAACTAGTTGATGTGATTTTAACGAGATCACATGATACATTTATCCTACATTCTGCATGTTTTATGAAGTAACAAGATACTTCACATGTAAAATCTGTACACTTACATTTACATACAGTCAGTCAATAATTGTCTATACTGTATCCAAACGCTTATACAGTATATCTTATTTCTCTGTACCACAGAGCTCTATTGTCGAAAATGAAAAAAGGTTTATTTTAAGTTGATCCCACATACACTTGAATTCTCTCTAGTGCACCAAATTTGTATTAATCCATGGATGAAAACAGTGCCCACGAACGCACTACTTACTCCTGTTTTGAGTAACATTCACTAGAATCTAAATCATTTATCCATTTAAAAGAAATTAAGATACGATATGACCAGTTTTTTAAAAATAATACTCACTTCAGTAAGAGCCAATGTACTCAGGCAAAGTAAGTACTCATCACTCCTACACATAGTGACTTTAAAAACAGGGCTTGAACTCATAATGTTGATAACTTTTGAATGTGAACCTGAACCTGTATACAGTATATAACAAATGTGTCACAATAACTGTTTGTTAATGTTCTGCCTCTCTGTCTCCAGGTGGGATTTACAGTGGGTCAGGCTTTGATTTTCGGTTTCTCCCTGTCTACCACCTCTGTCATATCCGCCAAACCGTGTTTCAGCAGAGTCGAATGTTACACCTCCCAGGCAACAGAGAAGACGGTGTTCATGGTCATCATGTTATGCGTGGCGTGCCTGTCAAGCCTGCTGACCCTGGTGGAGATGGTGAGTTCTGTGACTCTGAAAGGGAGTAATTAACAATTTTCTCACTATGCTGATATTAATAAAAAAATTGTTCTGATGAATGAAAACACATGCTAAACTTTTTAAACTGCTATCCAACAGTGCATGGTGTTGAAGAGCGAGAGGCCATGGGAAAAGAGCCTGTACAAGATGTCAGAGGCCTCAGGCTTTGAGATGTCACCTTTCAAGGAGAAAACCACAGAGGACAATGAAAGCTGCACCACACCCAACATCTAAAGCTTACTAACACAGATTGAGGGTGATCCCACGCCTAAACCATGACATTAGAGCCTTTTAAAGAGAAGAGGTTGGACACGTCCGCCAGCTCTTTCTTTACTTCTTTTTTTTACTTTTTTATCACTGTATATTACTGTGACAAAACACTTACGAAGAATTACGAGAAGTTTAGTATCTTTTCTTTTAGTTTTAATCTAGAGTTTACAGTTTATAGTTTTTACTTTTTAGTTTCACAGTTTAAACATTAATATGAAGCTCCACACATATGTGACCTATTGTAAACTTTCAAGAAAACTATATAAGAAAAAGGTAATACATATAAATGTTGCATGTATAAGGTGAATGGTTTGTAATTGACTCCGCTGTATGAGGAGGACGTGAGGATGCTGTCAGTGAAGACTAAAGAAAATGTGCATTCATGTGATAATTCTTTTAATTTGCTCATATGACAGTGCAACATCTTCAGGTTTGATTTAACAGGTTCTTCAAAACCACTGAAAGAAACAAAAAGAAACAGAAAAGAGACTAAATGAAAAATCAAACACAGACAAATAAATTGTCTACAAAAACATTATTTTTCTCAAACATATAGCGTCCAGTTTAAAGACTTTAAAGCTCCAGGACCCCACACACATGCACATCTCAAAAACACACTCGCAAGTGTGGCAGCAACACTGGAATATTTAATTATTCCTTTATCAGCCTGACATGTTCTACTTTCTGTGAGAATCTGCACTTGCTGCTCAAGGACTCTCTGAACAACACATGTAGCAGATGGTGGACACATCAGCTCGACCAGTTGAGACTTTGGATTTGCATGACATTGTGTAACCACAACACCAGAATAAGATGCTCCTGTTCGGATAATAAGCAACATAAGACATAAGCAAAATAGTGAATTACAACAAGCACTCAGGATCCGTCCTTGGCTTGCAGGCAAGAGAGCAGACAGGATGACAGCCGGTATCTTCTAGCAGCAGACTGGTCTGGTACAGCTAGGAGTCGAGTAGACCGGCCTGTACCAGAGTTTGGACTAACCTGAACTGGCTTAGTATAGCCTGCTCCACTCGTGAAAAATGGAGGCATCAGGTCAGACACATTAACGCTCCCCACAGGAGAAGAAGTGGCCACCCTCTGTGCCAGGTGTCGTCTGTCCTGGACTGACTTCTGCTCCAGCTCTGCATCATCCAGTGGTCGGATGGAGCTGTGCTCATTGGTTTGATGATGTGATGGGTGCACAGGAGAGTAGCTGTCAGAGGTGGAGCTGTAAAGGACAGAAAAGTTGTATTTTACAAGTTTTTTGTCCAAATGTGGAGCCAAAAAAAATGTCTCAAAAATGTCTTCTTTCTAAATTTGGAGATTTTTTTTCTAGCCACCACCTGACAGCAATTTCTTCTCCAACTTAAATTTACCTGCTGAATGATGTCTGAAGGGAAGAAGAAGGTGAAGGTGAAGGTGAAGAGAAGGGAGGCCATTGGTGTTTGCATGGGCTTGTCATGGTCACATAGTCATCCATAGGCAATGCAGGCGAACTGTCGCTGACCTGTGGGGACATCATCATGTACCCTAGCGCCTTCTCCTCCTCCTCCTCCTCTCCCAGCTCCAGGCCCTCCATCCTGCAGGATGCACCCCTGCAGTGCTCCATCTTCATTTCCATGTAGCTGCCAGTCTCAGGCATGGAGCTCTGCTGGGATCGGAAAGGGCTAAGATGTGAGGTGAGGCTCAGAGTAGATTCAGGCTCTGTTTCATCTGGTTTGCGGGGCTCTAGGTAACACTTTGGACTAGTGTGGACGTCAGTATTGGGTGCCAGGGGAGAGCTACGTGGTCTCACATTAATTAACTTGTCTCTGTGCTTGGGTCTGCTGCGTTTTGAGATCAGAAGTGCTTGAGGCTGCTTGTGGTTGGAGGTTGGTGACCGGCTGAAGTCAGGAAGAGCTCTGAGTGCCTGTACCGTCTCCCGAACCACCTCATGAATTTGCTGAGCAATTCCTTGGTTTCCTGTACAAAACAGACATTATGAGGAGCAGTCCAATGTTAAGGCAGTACTACAATCAACACAGCCTTTATTCTTAATTACCTTGGTCTCTTGCTTCCATCCAGATCTCTCCAGGACCGTCAGGTGCTGACCTGCCAAGCTCCAAGAAGAACGAGCCATCCAAGTGGCCAAAGCGCCGAACACTCAGCAAGGGTATCGTAACCGATGGCAAATCACTGCATGTGCCCACTTTGACCAAGATGAGTGAGGTAGCTGTGAGGCAAAGCCGCGTCTCTCCTGTGAGGGATTTGGAACGGCCCAGACCTCTGGGCTTCACTGAAACGGGCCAGACCTTAGACGAAGGTGAAGGGTGCAGGAGCAAAGGTCGCGCAGGGATATTTTTATTTCTAATCAAGAGCTGGCACTTGAAAAGGTCTTTTTTAAATTGAAAATTGTAATTATTTTATGTCGAGCATTCTGTTGCGAGAGAGAAATTACATTTGGAAACACTGCCTGAAAGTGTAGGTTGAGGTAAAATACTGTATATGGATGAGCAAATGAGCTCAGCATCAAGAGACACTCAAACTACAGAGTCAGCTGACACTGAAAATATTTTGAAAATGTTTTCTCTGATTTTGGATATAGTTAAAATGCCAAGTACCTTTTTTTTTATTATTGGGAGTTTTAGTGGTAAAATGTGTCTGGTATTTTAAGAAACATACTTTAAATAAACTACAATTCACTTTTCTTAGATTTATATCAACTGTATGTGACAAAAAATAAAATCTGGTCTAACCTCTTTGAAGAAAGCAGCAAGCGGCAGAGTGCAATACCCATCATCATCTTCTTCATCAAGCCTCTCTCCGTGCTCTTCATCCTTCTGCTCCTCCTCCATCAGTTTCTTAATGGCCAGATACCAATCTTCTTGTTCATGTTGGTCCTCCACCACCAGCACCATGGTCTGATCCTTGGCATACACCGCCACTGTGTGGCCTTTCCTGGAACTGCCAGTCCGGCTCACACCAAGACAGCACCTCAGGTAAATCACGCTGGGGAGTAGAAAATAAATTAATTCATTATAGATTATAATGTTTCCTCAGCTACATACTTTAATCAGTTTAATGATTTTACTTTTACCAACCCTTGCTTGCTCGACCCAAACAGCACAGCTTTACCAGAAGACTTCTCCATTGCTGTGAACTTCTCCTGGCTCTTGTACCACTCAAGTCGGCTCGGCCCAGTGTGACTTCCTGCTCTCAGGACAAAATATCTTCTGTGGTTTCGCTCCAGCTTCCCCAGGTAACCTTGTTTCACCACATCACTCTGTGGCCCAGCGGAGGTTATGAGGGCGCTGGCTAGAGGGACAAGAGGGCCGGAAGTCTGGTTGGTACAGAAGAGTTCTTCGTAGAAACGAGATGAAGGAAGTTCACTTGTCTGCATTCCACTGTGATGGTCCTCAGAGTCCTCATCCTGCTCCATTTGAAGATTGTTCACCCAAGGAGGCCGCAGGGGAGATTCAACTGGCAGCCGTGTTTGGGTAGAGCTGCAACAGGGAGACGACAGAGGAGAGTTGGAAGCAGGTAGCGATCTCCTTTGGTTGTTACAAAGGAGGGGGTTTTTAATAAGATGAGTGAGAGGTTCTACCAAAACAAAATAGGATTTTAAGTAGCTGAAAAGATTGAAACAACTTTTGCTCAAGTCTAAGTTAACATACATTTTGTTGATCTTGTACCATTCCTTTTGCATCAGTGATTACTGAGGTGCAGTGGCTTGTCAGCGCTGTTCAAAGTGCATTAACCCTTTCTTTCAAATTGCCCATTTTGAGGATACAGTATATTTCAATTTTAAAAAGTGCATTCAGTCATTCTTTACTGTCTCTTGGCACAAAGTGGCCATACTTTATATGTGGGAGCTCATAAGTGTTGATTTCACTAGTTCAAGTTTATGTGTAGAAGAATACAATCTCATAGCGAGTAATCCAAATGTTTAACAGCAGTAGGAAAATAATATATAACATAGATACAAACAGACAGATCCTAGGCATGCATACACAGAATCAAAAATAAGCATTAAAAGATACATTCACAAAAATATATTCAATTCATTCATCAGTATTATTCTTCGAATAAGAATATGCAAGTGCAGAAATTTCACGAAGTCTATCAGTGTGGATGTTAAGTTGAAAATGTCATATGTGTTAAATATTGGCCTTAAAAAAACTGTTAAAGTCGACGATTGAGGAAGTTTGTTTATCTTGTCAGACTTTAAATTTTCCCTAAATATTTTACTCCTATGTAATTGGTAATCATGTTTTTGTTTTGTTTTTAAAATCACCTTCGACCCCACCTTCGAAGTTTTGAAAAAAATGGGAAAGTTTCAATGCAGCCTTCCAGAATAAACAGTTTGTCTACGTCGTTTAATAAAGCCATTTAGCATTAGCAAATAGCTGATAACCAGCTAACGTTAGCTAGGTGGCGTTTTCCCAAACGTTTGGACAATTAGTTTAATTAAAACTTACCTGCAGCTTACAGTTATAAACTGTGTAATACCCGGAAACACACACAACGTCGACTGCTTTTCATTTCAGGCAGTCTGTAGAAGTCAAACAGTAATTTCCAAACTACTTTCCCACTACTCTCTTGTTTTTGGCGACAGTTTAGCTGCTCAGGTGCATCAGCGACCAATCACTGGGGCCTTCAGGAACTCCTCGTAAAACTCACCTCTCAATCACAGGAAAGTTGGAAAAGTCGCTCGTTTCCATCAAAAAATGTCTCAGTCCCAATAGTCTTTGTGTTTTTCGTTCTTTGAAGTGAACTCTTCATGAAGTGAGCTTGAAATCAAATAATGTCCACATATTTGGCGGAATGAAACATGTCAGGGGAAGATGTGCGAAATTACTGTAGTTATTTTGACAATGGAAGTGTCTCCCTCGTTAATTTAGATGACGTAGAGCTTTCAATAGTCCTCTGTAGGAGCTAGAGGGTTTTTCCCTCGGTCCTCCTTTCCTCCCTCCCTTCCATCCTTCCAATCAAATCAGCTATGAACCAAAGTGTTATCCAAAGTGCATCCATAGATCACTTTGGATCTAGTCATTCAAAACCATGACTAGATACTGTATAGATCAGCAGTCATCATGGTGAGAAGTAATTCATGTTAAACTGGAAGGAGTCAATACAACGTCAATGAATTCAAATCCTGAACATTGTTGTTTAATTACAAGAAAAAGCTATATGCCCCTTTCTTCATTTACTCTCTACATGACAGCTTAGTATTGTCATAATATGAAAGTTAAGTGTTGCCTTGACATCATTATCTCTGCTGCCCCAATACACCCAAGAATCAATTATTGCATATTTAAAATCACTTGCTTTATTTATGCCTTTAGCAGTAGTTATAAATACTGTTTGAAATGAGATGGGTGCACAATATCTGACAGACTGGCAGGCAATCTTCCCAAAAGATTCATTTGATTTGATTTGCCTGTTCACTGCAACTACACCATGCCCACAACTTCAACATTTCACCAGGACCTCTTTTTTTATTGTCCAGTAGACATTCAGCTATTATACAAGAATAGTTTATGTGATTGGCTTTCAGCAGTCACCCAGTCAACTGTACACAGGTTTAAGATGATGTGATTGTCTTAAACCAGACTTTGAAAAAGACTTTGGTTTCCTGCATGCATTCACTTTAAGCCCTGCTCGTTACGATTACAGCAGCTGTTATTCCTGTTGAAATAATCTCAGTAATGGGTGGAACAGGTTTGTTTCTGCATGTTTCAACATCACCAACTTCTCATTGTGAGCACATCCGCTGTCAGAGCCAGACGGGTGTCAAGCAAGGCAGACCTCTTGATACCACTTGCTCTGTCTCTCTTTTCTGTCCCAGGATGTCTCTCCTCCTGGGTGTCCTCTCTCAGGTCTTCAGCTGGGCCGGCCTCTGTCAGGTCCTGAAAATGGTTGGTACAGGACTGGTTGCGGTGGTTGCATTTTGGATAATGAGGCTGTTGGTGCATCACGCCTGGTACACACACAGACTGTCCTGCTTCAGCAAGCCACCTGTAGACTCCTGGCTGAAAGGCCACCTGGGCCAGGTAGGACACACACACCAATGCTGGAGAAATACAAACTAACATGCATGAATAGCTTAATTTGTCAGTTCTTGTGTAGTGGCAACATTTGCTTTATTTATGATCTGGAAATATTGCCACTTTGTCATTATGGTGAAAGGACAGTAGATTTCACAGTGTGATACGGGAAGTTCTCTCTGTTGCAAAATATTATTATTACGAAATGTCTACTTTAAATCTTATATGCGAAATCAGCTAAGCAATGAAGTTCTAACCAACCGAAACTCACCTTTTAATTTTAAAGGCAACCGTATAGGACTTTCAGATTTAAATAAAATAAAATAAAATAAAATCACAGAGCCAATTGTAATATTTTGTTTAAGGACAAAAAAACAACTGATGTTCTTTGTGCCTCAGATGCAGAGCACAGAGGAAGGTCTCCTCCAGGTGGATGACCTGGTGTGCACATACAAACACTCCTGCAGCTGGTTCCTTGGGCCTTTCTATCACCTAGTCAGAGTCTTCCACCCTGACTATGTCAAACCTCTACTAATGGCACCTGGTAGGATTACACACTATCAGTAAATAAAATGTGATATATTTGCGTAATTGCTACAAACAAATAAACTTTTTTCACACCAGTGTTATTGGAGCTGCCTAAATATTAAAGCCACTTTTCCCCAAGCTTCATTTAATGCTTAATGTTCTTTTCTCCTTCCATCACATCCTCACTCCTTTATTCCTTCAAGCCAGCATTACAGTGAAAGATGAGCTTATCTATGACCATCTGCGGCCGTGGCTTGGTGAGTAGCTCGTGTTGCTATGATGTAAGTCTAGTTTAAGAGTTTTCCACAGTTCACTTGCAATCGACATTGGTTCATAATTGTTTCATAATTCAAGAGGATGTCAAAGCTGTTGAGTAATGTCAAAGTCTACAGGAACCGATCTAGGTTTTTTTTCATTTGATAAAAGTCAAGTTTCACATCATTAAGTCTGCTAAGACTAATAAATTAATAATAATGAAGTCAGATGATTATATTTAGATTATATACATCCTCACTTCCAAACAATGTCTCTCTTATTTCCCAGGACAGAGTCTGTTGCTAAGCAACGGGGAGGTGTGGTCTCGCAGGAGGCGACTGCTGACTCCAGCCTTTCATTTTGATATTCTGAAGAACTACGTTGTCACGTTTAACACATCAGCTAACACCATGCATGTGAGATGCACACAGCCACAGAATACACACAGATGCTGTCATGGACAAATGAGTGACAGATTCAGTTACTGTGACTTTATACATTTTGTGACAGTGTAAAATGTGTGCATAGCCTTTAGTGTCTGCAACAAAAAATCACCGGTGGATTTATGTGCCTGGTCAAAGTTTATTAAAACTAAAGTCATCCTTTATTTCACATGTCTCACTAAGATCAAGATCTCAAGAGAGATGTATCCACAAGAGTAAAGATATACATTGTATGTCTGGCCTAAAAGAAATTCACATCCACTTTTGCTGTCAGTGTTTTGCTGTTCCACAATAAAGAAGTACAGGTGCCATTCGCAGTGCTTGATCTCAAAACTTTTTGTAACGAATTCCATTTGTAAGAAGCGTTAATTATTTGAAACCAGTTTTTTTAAGGTTGTTAGTTTGATAGTTTTTCCAGAAGAAAAAAAATCAATCTCTCTTACTGTGTTTCTGTCTTTCAGGATAAATGGCGCCGCCTGGTGGCAGAGGGCAGGACCAATCTAGAGATGTTCGACCATATCACTCTGATGACACTGGACAGTTTACTTAAATGTGCCTTTAGCTACAACAGCAACTGTCAGGAGTGAGGACCCCTATTTTACCATTTTCCACACACAGATTCAACTTGTATTCAACTTGACTATTATTTGAAAATGTTCTCTGCCCAGGTCTACCAGTGAGTACGTGTCAGCCATAGTGGAGCTCAGTGACCTGATAATTGATCGCCGCCTAAAGATTTTACACCACTGGGACTGGATTTACTGGAAAACACAGCAGGGGAAACAATTCAAAAAGGCCTTGAGTGTTGTACACAGGTACAGTACATGCACAGCTGTGACCTTCAGACCTTTATGCAACAATGTTAGAGTCTTTGGGTGTGATGACACATTTTACAGCAAAGTGATGAAAACCAAGCTGTTTCTGTAATATCTATTACTCACTATGTGGTTTTTATTATGCAATAATATTCCCTTTACACCTATTTTATTCTATAATATTCTATGTTTGGGTAAAACCTGGTGTTTGCAGGTTCACCAGGGAAGTGGTTCAGAAGCGGCGTGCCCTCATTGGCCAACAGAAGGAGACAGAAACAGATTTCACCAAAGCACCACAGAGAAAGAGAGATTTTGTGGACATCATACTGCTATCAAAGGTAAGACAGAAGAAGAAAGAAGCATGAATGAATGAGAAATAAAGATGGTGTAGCATCAGTGTGAAATGTACTTACTGATAAATATTGTGTTAAAAGATGTGTGTAAATGTGTGTGTGTGTATATGTGTGTGTGTGTGTGAGCGTGTGTGTGTGTGTGTGTGGGGTGTGTGTGTGTGTGTGTGGGGTGTGTGTGTGTGTGTGTGGGGTGTGTGTGTGTGTGTGTGGGGTGTGTGTGTGTGTGTGTGGGGTGTGTGTGTGTGTGTGTGGGGTGTGTGTGTGTGTGTGTGGGGTGTGTGTGTGTGTGTGTGGGGTGTGTGTGTGTGTGTGTGGGGTGTGTGTGTGTGTGTGTGGGGTGTGTGTGTGTGTGTGTGGGGTGTGTGTGTGTGTGTGTGTGTGTGTGTGTTGCAGGATGAGGACGGACAAGGCCTAACAGATGAGGAGATACAGGCAGAGGCCAACACCTTCATGTTTGCTGGTGAGACAGTTTAAAGCAAGATGGTGTCAACTTTTTATCTGTAAAAAGAAGAATGTGTTGTTACTTTCCTCAAAAAGTATAGTCTTGCTTTAAAGCTGCAAGTTACCGTTTGTTCCTTAAGTCTAAAATGTTCATATATCTACAGAATAATCATAAAAATCATAATTTGATTTGACATAAAATTAAATCCTCCTACTTTTTCCACAGGCCACGACACAACAGCCAGTGCGATTTGCTGGACGCTGTATAATTTAGCACGCCATGCCGAATATCAGGAAAGATGCAGGCAGGAAGTGATGGATCTAATGCAAGGACGAGACAGAGAGGAAATAGAGTGGTCAGAAAACACACACACATACACAATATTCATTTTCTTTGCGATTTAACAGGTGGAAAACTCGCCTGTACGACATGGTAAACCCCTGTGGCATTGAGTGCACTTGAAATTCTGTGAAATGAGGAGTATTTACATTTGCACATATATGTACATGCATTTATCTCTTTCTCTGAAGGGAGGATCTGGCCAACCTTACCTTCACCACCATGTGCATCAGGGAAAGCCTCAGACTCCACTCTCCTGTGCAAGCTGTAACAAGGAAATACACCCAGGACATGGCGCTGCCAGGCAATCGGACCGTACCAGAGGGTGAGAGGGAGAGACAAGCCCCTTTAAAACCACATACAGTGATTCATTTGCGAAAGAAGGTTTTTTGGGGGATTACCGCTTGAGAAGGTTTTACAGTTCGCCAACAAAAGCTGGGAAGTGAAATTCATGATCTGTGTAGTTTTTTGGTTTGTGATAACCTTTAGAGAGTTAAGCAGTTTAGACAAACTCAACTCAAAATACTTCTTTGTTCCTGTAAACCTTTCCCAAGGTACCATTTGCTTGGTCAGTATTTACGGAACACACCACAACCCCACTGTCTGGACAAACCCATATGTAAGAAACTAATAAAATCATCAATTTTATTTTCACTTTCATCCAGCTCTGTCATGTTTAACCTGCACGATTTGCTCTCTGCTAGGAGTTTGAGCCCCTGCGTTTTGACCCAACCAACACAGAAAACCGATCTTCTCATGCATTCATCCCCTTTTCTTCAGGCCCCAGGTACAGTGTCCACAGTTAACATTTAGGACCAAGCCAAATAAGGTCTGACACAGCTAAGAATGCGTTGGTAAAGAAATTAATTTGTGTCCGTTCACAGGAACTGTATCGGTCAGAAATTCGCTCTGGCAGAGCTGCGAGTCGTTGTGGCGCTGACCCTGCTCAGGTTTCGTCTGACCCTGGGGGTGAACCCTGAACTCGGGTCCAGCTCTGGAGGCGTTCGCCGTCTCCCCCAGCTCGTCCTGCGTGCTGAGGGAGGCCTGTGGCTGCAGCTGGAGCCTCTGACCCCACCCAACATGGAGGAACCACAGGCTGAATGATCCAACAACATGACATGTTGACCTGTTTTATAATATAACAACAAAAACCCAAAATATTATAAGTTTATTACTGTTCTTGTCGCTGTATTTATGCCTACTGTAATGTTTCTCAATGCATTTGCAACCTTTGTTTTCGACAAAGTTCTTTGTTTGGCTACATGATTCTTTTATTATCAATTTAAAAATTAACATAATACAATTTAATGATGTATTAATAAAATACTTAATTTACAGTTGAAACATTTATTATTGTTGTGCTGTTTGGTTTAAATAAATCCTGACTTTGAAAAAAACTCTTCCACACTAAAAGAGACTTCTGAAGTAAAGCTAATTGGCTCCAGGTTGTTGTTATCTGTAGGGCCTGGGCTAGATAAGGGTCTGAGCAAGTTAGACCTGGAAAATCAAGGGCTAAAATATCTTATCCATGCATTACTCTATAGATAAAGCATAGAAAATAAATGAAATTACTCAGTTTGGCTCTGCAGGTAGTTTCTTCCACCTCATGCCTTGGTTTCTGCTCTTATATGCAATGCCACCCACGAGGCCTCAGGTAGAGAGGTTTGTGCCTTTCCAATTCATGTCCAAAGTTGAATTTACCACAGCAGGACTCTCAAGGTGCAGAAACATCTTAACTATCAAAAGAAATTGTAGGCACCTGTGTACAAGTGTCCTAAAAAGGGTCTGAATACTTTTTTCCTTTTTAATAAATTTCTAAAATTCTGTTTTCACCATGTCATTATGGGTGATTGAGTGTAGATTGATATTTTTTTTAATATTTTATTTTTCACATAAACCTGCAACATTTTACCATAAATCTGCAACATAACAAAATGTAAATATAGTGCACTGTAGCCTCAGATTGTGTAGAAACCCGGTAGAAATCAGCAGAGGTTACACTTGTTACTTTGACATCCCAGAGGGGCGGAGACTGAACCGGTTGAGCTGGATACATGTACTTTCACTTTAAGCTTCCTTCAATTGTCCCCTCCGTCTCTCGCCAGTTAACTGACTTTTTAAGCTAGCACACTTAGCCTGTTATGTTTTTAGCTTTTAAATAACATGACTTGACATGTTTCTCTGGCTTCAGAACAGAAGCGGTTTAGATTTGACTGTTTATCTGACTGTTTAACCTTAAAGATGTGGCCGACTGTGTGCCTGACGATGTTGGCCGGTTGGTCGTGTCTTCTCCTGCCTGTCGTGTCCACACAGTCCGGTAAGTTTATTCTAGCTTCTAGTTAACTATTTTCCGACTTGCTTTTATACATTTTAGAACCAAATAACTTTTTTGTGGATTATATTGAATGTATGCAGGTTGTGTCGCAGTATTGTGATTTTCCATATCTATGGCCCCACCCAGTGTAAACTTGCAGTTTCACATCGTTGTCAGTCATTTAGGTTCAGGCAGGTGATGTCTACTGATAACAATGCAGAGTGCATGAGGGATTTGTGTGTCATAATTACTAGAAACGTAATAATAACAAGATCCGGATCTCATTAATACGAGATAATGCACAATATACTAATAGGACAGGAATTGGAGAGCTTCAGAACTTGCCTGAGAATCTCCACGTTTTTATGTTTTCTAGAGTATTAATGTAAAGTGACAGTTTTCATTAAGTCCAAGGGTACACAGCAAGAAGGAACTATTAATAGCCAATTCGGCTTATTTCATTTTTCAAAAGGTCAATATATATTTGCTTTTGAATTTCAATTCATTTTCTGTAATAAGACCAGTGTCCAATGAATAGAAAGCCAGATTTAAAGGTTGTTTAGACCAGGAAAATGGTTCACCTCTCTTCCTTTTGTCCTTGCAGAGATTACACTCTTCAAGAAGGAGGGCGATGAAGTTGTTCTCAAACCACAGAGCTCTGTGAATAAGCCCATCACCAGCATCGTGTGGAAGGATGGTTCTAACCTTGCCATCCAGTGGGAACAAACTGATCCGGATATCACTTATTTTCGTCATTTCAGAGGTATACTGACCCTAGTGCAGCTCAACTCCTCGGTGTCTATGGGTCAAGGGTTGAAGCTAAATGGTACAAAAGTTAAATTTTTAATGATTTGTGAGACTCTTCTTGAGAAGCTAACTAACAATATCCATGTTTGTTTAAAGAGCGCTGTAGCCTGAACACTTCAAGTGGAGAGGTGACAATCACAGGAGTGACTCGAGATTACAATGCAGTCTACACACCAAGCATCAACGAGGTCCAGGGCACTCAGATTGTTCTCAGAGTCATGTGTAAGTGAATAAATTATACACAGTTTCGTAGTCGTATTGAGCAGCTTTGAGTTTCACTGAATTCAATTTTGGGAAATAAAATGTATGTCACCTTTCCCTCCAGCTCCCGTCCCTGTACCCACTGTTACTGAATCATGTGATGATAAGATGACCAGCTGTACCTTGACCTGTGACGGAAACATCACAGGCGTTGAAGAAGTCACCTACGAATGGAAGTCAGATGAGTCAAAATTGGAGATTTCATCTAAGGAGCACAAAGTTGAAAAGGTGTCATTGATATTTTGTATGAGAGTATGAGTTTTTGTCCATGTGTCTGCCTGTGTGTTTTCTTTAGACCTCAAGATTGAGTGATTAACAGAAAATTGCCAACTCAAATTATGATGGACCATTTCACTATTTTCTTTATATAGCAAATAGTTAAGTGAGAAAATAAGTATAATGACAATAAGCGTTAATTGCGGCCCTTGTTATCTTTTCTTATCGCCCAGTTCATGTAACATAAAGGAATTTTGTGAAGTTTATAATTAACAAGGAAATTTAAGGAGTTCAACATCAGTGCCACTGTGGAGAATCAGTATAATGTTGTTAAGGCTGCTCTCTTTTCATTATCACTGACTTGGTCGTTGGGAAATCTAAAACGTGCTGAGGGCAAAGGCGCAAAGAAATCAGTGTAAAAACGTATGGGATGTGATTGATAATACTTACTGTGTCACTCATCTCCTAGGAGAAAAGTCAAACCATGAAGGAGTTAAGCTGTGAGATGCATAATCCGGTCAGTCGGGAGAGCAGCAAACCCATCCCCAACCCTTTCATCAAGAGTGAGTTATCGCTATGAAAAAAATGGAAGGAATCACAGTCTGTCATGGCAAATAAGACTTTAAGGTGCAAATGTTTCCATGGAAGGCCTCTTATTACTATTGTTGTAATTTTACAGAACCTAAGCGGGGTCTGAACGTCAACTCAGGACTCATAGTCTTCATCTGTCTGCTGACAGCTGTAATAATGCTGGCTATTGTACACCGATGCAAAGCAGGTATAAATTATGATATCATACTGTAATTATTTAGCATATTAGCAGTTAATATTAGCATAAAGCAAGCAAACAGAATTCTGTTTTGTGCATGTATCTCTATTTCTGTATTTTACCTGAAACTGTTAAAGAGATTTTTATTATCCTGTGTTTTTCCACCAGGGATGTGGTTTTTCCAAAAAGGTAGGAAAGCTATTTTAAAAAAGTTTTAAACAAAGTCTGAGGCCTTGTTTCTGTGAAGATGCTGGGTAGATACAGACGGATATAATGTGTTTGTTAACTATAACTCCTCCTGTGAGCGCCCGTAAGTGGAGGCTACTTGATGAATGACAGTGTAGTTAAACACAGTTGTAATATGTAATGTTAATACACAATAATCTTCATGTCTTTAAATGTCCTGATATCTGCAAGTACATTATAGTGTGGTACAGTGTAAACTGTTACATGCCAATTAATGGTTTAAGTGTTACCAGTATTTGATTTTACTCTCAGATTGGTCAAACTTTGCTTTTAATACATTTTCAGAATTATTTAAACATTGCTTTTCCCTGCTATAACTATAAATTGTTAAGTGACAATGCTGCCTGATGCAATACACCACATTAATGCTGAAAACATGAGGAAAAGTGTCTGCTTTTGATGATTGTCTGCTAAGTTCTTTCTGTTCATATGAAGCAAACTGATAAACATTGGCCTCCGTAACATATTCTCTTCTGTCATTCTCCCCCTGCAGAATCCCTGCCCCATGAAGCAGGTCAGTAACTCAAGTCACTTGTACCTTTTTATATTTTAGAGAAATAGACAGTACCTTTACAGTCAGATGTAACAGTGGACTCTCTTAATGTGTCTTCCTTTTTGTCTAACATTACGTTACAGACTTCTGGAGGAAGAAAGAGAGGCCACGTAAGTTGAAGCCACACCCCATTTTCTTTAAATTTGTCCAAATTGTTTTATTATATTAAAAAAGTTCAAATCTGTATTTTAATGTCATTAATCCAGGAGGAAATGAATGCCGAATCTAATGGCGTAAAGGCTCATCAAGAGCAGGAACAAGGGGACGGTAAGAGAGGAAAACAATCACCTGCTTGTCAAGAAATATTTCACATATTTGTACAGTATTTAATGACATTTATGGCTTTCCATTCAGGTGTGTAATTTTTTGCAGCAGTGTGTGATTCTTCTTCTTTCCTTGTGTCATTTGGCAGAGGAAACACCAATGACATAGGCGGCCAAACGAAGCCAAGTCGGGACCCGTCAGGTGTAAAACAAGACGATCCAGAGTGAAGCTGAGATGTTTTAGGAAATCCACAAGTGTATCCAAATAATACAATGACACTAAATGCAGTATGGGATCAGTCCTAGTTGTTATACTTTATTTTCTCGCAGTGTATCTGTCTGTGCTGTGTTTCCAGAGAGGCAGAGAAACTTCAGGCAATACCAGAAAAAACCCATTTTAGTGTGCTTTCCTGTGGCGGACGGCATACCTGACACCAACTGGTGCCTCAAGCTCATTAAATCAACGGTTGTTGATGATCTGAGGCAGATCCGGTGTGGGTTCGTGCGGCTCGAATTAGACTGACAAAACGGGGGGGGGAAAGGGACGCCATTGTCTGGTTTGGGCTGCCAGCACAACCAACAATCCAGGCTTTGTACAGGACTTTACCACTTACTGACTCCTCAGCAACAGCTTCTATGCGATGTTTTGTGTGTGTAGCATCACTCGAAAATAGTGTAAGATGTGTGTGTGTGTGTGTGTGTGTGTGTGTGTGTGTGTGTGTGTGTGTGAGTATGCAATTAAATTCTAATTAAAATCTTCATCTTTGTTGATGACATGATTCATCTGTATTTAGCTTTTAACTCTGAAGACACATTTTAAAATGTTGGGTTGAAGGTTTGTTTTTGCCCTTACTTTTCTTTCTTCTAAAGTGTCTTAATCTTTGTTTTTTCCTTGTAGTTTTAACAAAGTTACAATTACACATCCAATTGTTATTATATGCAAGCTAATGAGATTTTTCTAATATTTGTGAATGTCCTTTTAACTGACAAAGCAGCACTAATGAATTGAAAGTGTCTGTCAAGAATTGTTGAAGTGTTGCAGACAGAGGTTCCTTATTTTCCAGACAAAAGGCACTGACTTATTCACTCTTGTGAGCTGGTTATTTGTCATGGTTTGTTACAGTGTGATGATGTAAAGAATGTAGAGGTGTAAATGTGTAAACAAGTGTTTTTTTTTTATAAGTGCTAGATTTAATAAAACCAACAAAATCTCAACCCTGAACTGCAGCTTCTTGTGTGTCCTACATTGAACCACTTGAGGGCAGCAAGTCGACACATTTCACTTCTAACAGGATGTTTTCAAGGTTTCATCAGTATTAAAGCAGCTGACTGTTTTATATAACATGTTTTTTAATCATTTCATTTTTCATGTATTACTATACATTACCTTATATCTGCAGATTAAACGGTGCATTTTAGTAGCATGTAAAACATGTAGATCATTATTTTATGTATGTTTTCTGAATGTTCCTTTGTCTCCGATCACATGATTCCATGTAAACCTAGAGTCCCCTAAAGTGATTTTCATGGTTCCATTTTCCCTTTGCAAGCTTAGCAGACAGGCCAGCTGCTTATAGTAAATACAAAGTCAAAGTCAGTTATATTACTGATTAAAGTTAGCTTTAATTTGAGTTTAGGATAAACACTGAGAGCTTTTTCTTATTTTCTGTCAAACATCTCAAATTTCAGCTGATTCACGGTTGAAATATTTATAGGCTAATTTAACATTGCAACATTGACCCAGTCAGCTGCTGACTCATTACTTACTCAAAGGACTTCCTGTCAGAAACCAGGGCTGGAGGCCAAGACGGCGGACTCTCCCACACAGCAAACGACATAACTTTCACTCAGATGACTCTCCTTCACATACAGTCTCCCATGTTTTCATCTCTTCCTTCCCCTCCCGAGAAGGAGAAACCAGGTCTTGCGAATACTGACCAGATTCATCACATCCCTGAGCTCAGCTGTAGAAACAGTCCACAGAAAAATAAACAACTCCTGCTAAGAAATGCAGAAAAACAACTAAGAATCACGAAGCTCTTGGTCTTCATGCTGTGAGCAGTGGCTGCAGCTGACCAAACAACTCCCATGGACATGCTGTATCTACAATCGAACTCTATCAACCTAGTACATCAGACAGTTATTATTTACATGTTAAATACCCTCTTTTCTTAACTGTAACGTCGATCAAGGAGCTTTTTATCCACCAAAGGTAATTTATTTGTGAATACAAAATAAACATCTGATTAAGGTCAATTTTCCTCTTGTACAGCATTCAGACAGGTTCACAGTTACACTATTTATCAGCAACTATTTCAATCACAATTAAAAAAAAAAACATATCTATACATTCTGAATGTAATCCAACTCAAAACTCTGTTAACATGACAAACAGAAACTACTACTCGAAGATATACCTCTATATCTTTAGACTTGTCTACTGTTGCTGTGGAAGAAACTTCATGGACATTTTTTAAAAACCTACTGAATGTTGAACCTGTTGCATCAATAAACACTGCATTCCTATATTTTCCACAGTGATTCCTGCAGTCTTTTGATGAATATACAAGCAGCTGTGTTTTGACCCAAAATGAAGACCTGGTTTTTGGGGTCGGAGCCCTTCTTGGTGTTTGGCTGGCACTCAGACAAACTCACACCAACAGGCAGAGAATTAGCAGCAAAACTTCTGACTGAGATATTGACAAAATTTAGATAAAAATAGAAATACAGCATAGTTAAATAACCAAATTCATTGATGTGTATTTGGAATAATAGTCAAATAAGCATATATTTGTGCGGTAATAAACATTAACACATTCTGTTGCCTGTTTCAAAGTCTGAAATATAATAGTTTCAAATACCCTGATGCTGCTGCTTCTACATTACAAATGGTCTTCAAAGAGCAACTTTAACAATAACAGCAACAATGAAATCACTTAAATATTAAAATCACATCCAATCTGCAGTTTACCGCTTCAAATAATAAACTGATACAAAGGCTCATTCATCATCTGATTCTGATTTTCCAACAATGTGATGTGAAAATAGGATTATCTAGAAAAAAATATCTAAAAAGCAATTATATTTATGGGGTGGATTTCTTTTCAAATGGCACTAACTCACAGTAATTGTAACATTAAGTGCAAGAGGAGTGTCGATGACAATAGTGTAGTCAGAAAATGCAGCACATTCTTAAGTCATTTTTAGCCTTTGAGCCTTTTTTAACCTTTGATTGAAGGGCAAACCACTGACAGTTTACCGTGTTAAACCTGCAAATTCTCATATACAACATACAAAAAAAAAGCTTTTGGCCATTACATTAATGGTCCCTTGCTGTATATAAGATGATTTTCCACAATACTGAAGCATAGTGCCACTTATTGCGTTCCACTGAATAAAAAGTAGGATTTTATCGCCTGCACAGTTACAACAAATCACATCTGATCCTCAAAAACAAAAACAAAACTCTCCCAAGACGTCAGACACAAGATGCCTGCAACCTGTCAAGCTCGTGTCGAGCAGATGAGGCACTTCTGTAATTAAGGCTCAGCAGCGAACACTGAACGAGCTTCTGTATCAACAACAGAGGGTTACAAAGGCTTGATCCCTCTGAGTCTGAGGAGCATATTAACGAACACTTGGGTCTAGATAAAGATAACATGTGGATGGAAAATGGTGTAAGGCGAGAAACGTTTCTTGACGTTATGCTTTGGCACTTTTGCCGTTAGACAAAGGTTCTGCCTCCGAATTTACTGCCACAGGACTGAGCTCTGTGGGCGTGGCCTGGTCCTCGGCCCTGCCTCCTGCCCTGGGCTGGTTTCTATAGTGACGGAAGATGACCACAGCAGCACAGACAAAGTAGACGACAGTAAGAATGGTGAAGTAAATGAAGTACACCAGGAACTGTAAAAGGAAAAAAAGAAATGGATCTTCAGTCAGACAACACACAGATAGGACAGTAATTATACTGACGGAGAACGCTGTGCTAACTATCACAGAGTGAGTGACAAAAGCTCTTCTTTGCTGTGACAGATATCTTTTCTGATGTGTTTACTAATACTAATAATGTGTTTGTCTTTGCAACCTGCTGGAAATTCTTAAAGGTGAAAACAGCACTGAATGTGTCCTAAATTCTGAAGGAGATAGTACAACTTAACTAAGTTGAAAAAATCACTGATGTCTGTGCCTACATGTTTTCTGAATAAAGCTTGCAAACCTGAGTCTTTAAAGCACTGAGAGAATTAGAGCGCTCTTGTTTCTTTATTGTTCCCTAAACAACCTGGTATTTTGCCAAAGCAGGAAAGTCACAGGTGAAGTTAATCACATTAATTATGGCTCCGTTTCTGCAATGACTGCAGTGTAAAGCAGCAATTAGTGTTATTGATTACACCTGTGATGGCAACTGTAAAAAAAAATCTATTCAGCGTTCACTCTGTATGTTTCCCCCTTGTCTTGTAAATTTGAAAACATGAAATACATCCAGGGGAAGACACAGCCAGTGTTTGTGTAAGACACTTATATACTGTACCTTATACAGTATGAAATGACCGTTTTACCTGAGAGTGCACATCCAATGCCAGGCCCCTCTTGTCAGAAAATATCAGGCTGATGATGCTCTTCAGAATTGTCCCCAAGAAGGTGTTGATGCCAAACACCAGCGCACACAGCTCCTTGGTGAGTGATGAGGCTATCTGGAAACTGCAGAGAGACAATAAAAAAATTATATAAATATCACAGAGCAGTTTGTTTCTGTTGCAACCACACAACCACACGTTGAAAGAGTTAGACTGAAACTTAGTACATCAGCAAGTAAACACACACAATTTACCAATACACAATTAAGTCCCCTGATCTGTTAATCTTGTAATCACTATAACTCTCTATGAAACTATGATCCTATTCATAGAGGATATAACTTCCTGCTGCATCACTTTCATCTCACAATTAAGGAAATAGATTTATTTAACATTTTTTTGGCACTCACGTGGCAATGGGCACCAGGAACTGGTAGAAGCCTCTGAAGAGGACGTAGGCAGTGTAGCAGACCCAAATGTTATTTGTGTTGCCCATGAGGAGCAGCAGACCTGCTTGCAACGCTGTGATAATACCGATCACCAGCTCAGACCAGACATTCCACCGGATTTTAACATAGCCTGCCATGAAGGAAGTGATTGCACCTGGATAAAGACAAACATCAGTCATTACCCTTCAAACTGATGAAGTTCAACTTTATACATCTAGGTTACAGAAAACAAGCGGTTTCATAGTGTAAATAATGTCATTGCTTTTAATGTAAATAACTTTCAAGGATATATTTTCATCTGTATACTTCAGAGAGGTCTATTTGTTTTCCTGTCATCACTGCATAACTAACAGCTAAATAACCAACACTTCTATAAGAGTAGAAAGTTTTGTCTGTTCATTTACCTACGGTCAATTTTTACTTTGTAACGTAACTTTTACTGCACATGACGCAACGTCTAGGTTATTTAAACAAGCTGCTACCTTTGTGCTTTACAGCTGATTAAAGGGCAATCATTGATTGATCTAAACCTGACGTAATCACTTCAGAGTAAGGGTTTGATATCGATTATCCAACCTTTTAAATGCCGTTTACATTGTGCATATGTTTTGTGTGACAAATATGATCCTTTTGTCAGCCTTTTATCTCTGGTCCTGACCCAGTTTTGACATTTTGGTGCATAACACTAACACCATACACTGTCAATAAAGTGTACCATCAGTTAATCATTTCAAGTCCTTCTCCTGCCCTGAATTTCAGTTGGAAACTCTGCCTCAAAACAGATTATGCAGTGTTTGATTTTCCCCAAAACAGAAAAAAAAGCAGAACTCTAGGTTTACAGCAAGGAAGCCACAGGTGGTTCTAATGACACTGACGATGTCGCTGCTCCAGTATTTTACTGTACTGAAATAGACTAATTTACTGTACGAGCGACATCTGTGTTGAGACGCATCTGATGTGAAAAAAAGCTTGCTTTCAGTCTGTTGTAAAGAAAATGAATTGGATTCTTTCACTTTTGTTTTTAGACCAGCAGACTGGCTGACTTTTTCAATGATCAAATTCATATTTTATACTTTTCCAGACTCCAGTCTACACAGGATTTCTTCAATAAAGCCAGACACAGCATTTTAATAGACTTTGTACTTTGTGTTACTTCACACTACACATTTTAACTAGCCTCTCTACGTGACCAGAACCTGCAAGTTTCATGCAAACATTGTACGGATCAACTGATCAGCCATTACATTTCTGTTCATACTGAACGAGAGAGGCAGCGTTACTCTGTGCAATTCTATTATGGATGGAAAGTAAGAGACTGAGCTGAAGATGACTGGAAGATGCTGACAATATGTTCTGTCTGTTTTGCAGTGGTTCAGTTTTATATCCCAGCAGTCTCAAGATTTTTCCCTACAACATGTTAAAAAAAAATCAAAACAAGCTCACCACAGTTTTATAACAGATGTTTTGACAGCAGCCATGTGGGAAATCTGAGCTGCACAACACAGAAGTTCCATTACAAATCTGTGAATTGTGGTCCATCGCGTTCATGTTCAACAAATGCCACTTTTATCTTGCAATTCCTTTACAGAAAATCCTAGATTACAAATTATTATTGAATTATCAGAGGAACCTTTTCATTCATCTTGCAAAGATTCTGCTGTTAATGCAAAGCTAAACACTTCCTGCTGGCCTTGAGCTGGAGGGCTATTGATAGATATCGCCTGTGCTCAACAACATTAAGATTAATGTTGTTGAGCACAGGCGAGTTCCCATTATTTGTGTCTATATTTAACATGCTGGAGATGCACCAATGTGAATAAAATCACAAAGGACTGTGGAACTAACACCCAACAAATGTGCACTATATGAGCAAAGAGCAAAAAACAGAGATTAGACTGTTCTCATGAAAACTAGATTCTGTAGCTCCAAAAAATGTCTCACTCAGTAAGGTAGAAGCTGCCTCCACTCCCCCGTTGTAAACATCCTTGTTCTCAGTGGCTGGGTAGACTTTGTTCCACAGGATGTGGACGTAGAACAACACCAGGTAGTACCCGGTGGAGTTGAACACCCACCACAAGGACCAGAGCCTCAGGTTTGGCCTCCGGATCACGTTTCTCACCTCCAGCAGCATCTGCACAAAGATAGAATCCTTCCAGCGTGATGAAGAGCACGGGGGGGCGGCAGAGGACGCCTCACTCTCTTTCGGCTTCATTTTGTCCAGTTCTGATTTGGTAGCTTCCGATGCAGCCAGTTCCTTTCTCTCCTGATTCCGCATCTGGTTGAAAAACAGGGAGCGTTTAGGCCACGGCAGGCACAATGCGAGCAGCAGACCAAAGCTGACGAAACCCAAAGATATGGCGTTGAGGGTGTAGAAGCTGACGTTGCCCAGAGACATGCAGAGCTGACCCAGCACCGAGCTGGTGAACACCCCCAAGAGGACTGAGGTGCGCGAGTATCCGGCCACTCGCTGGTAGAGGACAGGGCTGACCAGGGAGAAAATGTAGGAGGAGTAGGCAACGCGGCAGGCCATGGTGATACCATAGAAGAACTCCATCATCTGCATCTCAAAGAGGGTGGTGCCCAGCAGCAGAATGAGCCAAATGACCACCTGACTGATGCCCTGGATAATCAGGACTGGCTTGTAGCGCAGAAGATCAGTCAGCAGGAAGGCCGGCACCAGCACGACCATGTAGGAATACGTCAGCACAGGAGTAATCTCATTGGTCACCTGGAAAATGACATAAAGCCCCGATGAATGTGAGAAATCAGTGAGGTAGATGAAATCTTCACTCTATTCAATGCTTAGAGAGTCTATATCAAGTATTATGACATATGACAGCTTGTTGCACATCAGTTTGATTGTTTTATATATTAGTTTGCATACACAAACCTCATTATAATATCAATATATTTTTTAGAACATATTGTCCAACTACAGTCCTAATGCTGTGGGCAACACATTTAATGTACAAAATACTTGGGACTCATCAGGCCAACAACAAACACTGTGGGCTCAACTGAGCTCATCAGCATGCCTTATTAAAAGTAACGTCCCTAATACTTTGCAAATAACACAAAAAATCTTCTAGCCAGATGACAAAAAATTATTAAAAAACAGAGGATGACAAAGAAGTTTAGACAACTAAGTGCAGTTCTGTTGCAGTCTTGGTCTTACAGATACAACACTTATTTTCCTGGCTGATGACCTTTGGTGTTGATGACTGTAAATGTTCCCATGAACAGTTTGGTGGCATGATCAGCAAATATGAAGTCTTATCTCTCCTAATTCCTAAATAATTAACCCAGGGCTGTGTCATTGAGAAATAAATAAACATCATAGCAACCAGCAGACTTTAGATACTAATAAACAATATATGGCTGCACGACGTGACTGTAACAAATTACAATATTATTACAATTATTTCCTCAGTTTGATACATATACATATATATATATATATATATATATCACAATATGGCAAATGTATGCAAAATAACACATCGTATCAAACTGATGTTCAATGCAATATACTTTTTAATACTCATCATTGTGTGTGTGTGTGTGTGTGTGTGTGTGCGTAGATGATGTAGATGATGAAGGGTAGTTTAAATCAAGGCTTATTCACTTGAGCCATTTAAAAGCAGGAATTTATGGAATATATCAATAACACTACTTCAAATACAAACAGACATCAAGACATCATTGAGTATTTTTTTCCTCTCACACTGTCCTAACCAGTCTGACAAACAATTCTGTCTCTGATTGACAGCTTGGCAGGTGACCAACTCTTAGTACGTGGTCGTGGTTGATTGATTCAGGGAAAAAAAAGGGGAAACAAAGTAGTGATCTCATGCCATTCTCCAAATCCTTCAGCCACCATTCCTTGATTATAAACCTCCGCAAACCTATTACATTGACCCAGTTTCGAGGAATGTGAACTTTGACCTCAATAAGATGGATCAGCAAACTCCCCACAGGGCCCTCATTAATTCTACTGTGTAATGACTGTTTAACTGCACAGAGGAAAAGGTGAAAGAGTCTAAGAGTTTCACTTTTAGTCTGTACGTTTGTGGGTGACTAAAATGTTCTTTCTTTCATTGTTGGCTTTGGACGATATTCTAAATGTGGCTGAACTAGTTTTCTTCTCATACACAGGTAAATATAACTGTACAAACACTGTAAGACACTGTGGACACTACCAACCTCTTTCCTGGTGAAGTTCTTCTCAGAGCTGAGCAGATACGGTGTAATGAACGGCTCCCCAGGCTTTATGGATGACATAAACCCATAGAAACACAAGAATATCACAGCCCACTTCCACTTTCTGGGCTGCTTGGCTTCCACTGGGAGACCTTCGGAGAGAGACGGGGCCTCAGAAGCAGAGACAGCCATCTCTACTTCTCCGTCTTCTACGTGGCCATCAGTGTCTTCAGATGCAAGCACTTTCAGATCCAGCTCTTTCTCACCCTCTGATCTGTCTCCACTTCCTGCTGCATCATCTTCTACCATTGTGTCGGCTGGTTTGTGAACCACACTGTGATACAGAGTGTAACCTTTTTTGTTGTGTCAATTCAGCATGCAAGGATTCGTTTTCAGGGTGAACTCCCAATTTCCTGTTTAAAATGAAACAAAATGTAAAAACCCAACTGTTTGAGTTGAAAACATCAAACTCGGGTTTCCCCTCAACTCCTCTGCTTCTCCATGCCAGAGAAGACTGAAACACTGAGAATGAACCATTTAACAGGGTGATGACAAGGTAGTTAAAATGCTACATGCTGTGGTTCGTATGTAAGAGAAAATGTTGACCTTTGCTTCATTCCACTCTGTGACATTGTCCGACAGCAAGCTATCCAGCAGCTGAGTCTGGTGTCATTGTTAACCTGAAATGATAACAATGTTGTTAGTTAGTCAGACTGTTTTGACACTGTGCAGACACTGCAGCTGACATTAGAGCACAGCTGTGTTTTCTACATTGGAAGCAAATCTGTGGCAGATTATGACACGCTGCTGTGACTCAAACAGGGCTGCAACTAGATCTTATTCTCATTATCACTGTATAGAAAAGTAAATAATGGTAAACAATGCCCATTACAAGCTCCCAGAGTGCTTGTTTTGTCTGACTAGCAACTATTCTGATCTATTCATCCGTTTTTTCTCGCAAACACAAATGCCAAACAGCTTCTCAAATGTAGAGATTTGCTCCTTTTCTTTGGCATATACAACAGAAAAATGCTATTATGCTAATATTTCATATTTTCTGGCATTAGATCAACAAAACAATTAATCAGTTAATCAAGAGAATAATAGGCCAATTAATCGATAATGAAATAGTCATGTTTAGTATCGAATATGGACAAGAGAACTAAGGCTACAACTAACAGTTATTTATCAAATGTGTTCTCTTGTTTGACCAACAGGCCAGGTTTACTCTGACATAAAACAGGGGAAAAAAACAGAACATTTTTCTATTTGAGAGGATGAATTGTTTTTGCAGCTTTAAAGAAAAGCACATATTCATATTGAAATTGAAACTGGAACCATTAAACGATTATGATATCCAAAGTGCTACCAATTAATGTTTCTATCAATATTTTCATCGATATTAATATAATTAATTAATTGTAATTAACTCATTATTACAGCTCTGAAGTCAGACATGTAAGATTGTACCTGCTGGATAACCCACAGTCATGCTTTGACACATGATGCACCCCATTTTTGTTTGCAGTTAAATCTGTAAGTATAATGTAATTAATATATTCTGTCAAAATGGTGGTACTTACTAATGAGATATATAAAAGTGAAAACTAGACATGTATTCCCCGAGGAATGAACCTCAGTTACGTGTCAGGGGAAATGCAAACAAGTTACACAAGCCATTCAGTGGGTAACACTGTGTTAGCATACTAATGCTCCACAAGGCAGCACACTGAAACATAAAAGCTTGATTTACTGTTACGTTAGCTGCTAAACGTGCTAAACCTCGCTTTGAATGGGTTGTCTATAGGACAGCGAATCACTTCAACGCACAATTCATGATACAGGTACGAAGTTACAGCTAGCTAGCAAGGTGGCCAACGATATTTGAGTATACAAACTAAGCATTCTTGTTGTTTTTATTGTCATAAATTCATCATATAATATTTATGGCGAGTAAATGACAGCCCGTTTACACAACAAAAAGCTGGCTTTCCGACAGGAAAGCATAATTTACTTGTTTGTCATATTAAAGTGTATATATAAGTCGAGTTAACGTTTCTTACCTCCTGTGCTCCATCTAAAGCTGCAGAAGTAGCCAACCAAATGCTTTATTTTTCACCGCGTTGATTTCTGGGAAATGTAGGTCCACAGTTTAGTTTTTGTGACAAAGCCGGAAAAAACTTTATTTAACCTGACATTTGAAACAAAAATCAACAAATTTTCGGCTTATTTGTTTTTATGAGATCAATATACCGAGATGGCACAATGTAAAGACAACAAACTCCTTACAATTCAGATTTTATTTCACATTTTTGGTTTTAATAAGAGCTTTGTGCCTAAAGCTCTACATCTGCTGGGCAAATACTGCTACAGTGTGTTAGTACAAATATATAAATACAATCTAACTACTACACTAATAATAATAATAATAATAATAATAATAATAATAATAATAATTCAAAAATTCAATGCATTCAAGCATTAATAGTTGTCCTGGGGTTTTTGATTATTCCACGTGATCTTTATCAGCAGATACAGTTCTGCCCAGTTGACATGGTCAAATTTCCAAATCTCAGCATTGTGAGGACTTCTTGTTCATGGTGGCTCCAAAGTTGAGACTGAAAGATAATTGAAAGTTCATTCTTCATTATTTCCATGTGAGAATGATGATCTAATGATAATTGTATTGGTTGGGAGGACCCTGTGAATATGGGTCACACAAGTCTACAGGAATAAATCAGTCATTTCAGGGAAGGTTGCAAAGTTTTTTACTTTTACTGAGAAAAACAGCAATATATACAAACTTTTAAGCTCATACAAATAAATAGAAATACAGTACATAGGAAAGTCTGCTACAGTATGTACATTGCTTAAAAACACAAGAAGCATACAGATCCACAGAAAGGCTGATCTACTCTTGAACAACAAAAATACTTACGGTAATAAGAAATATAAACACGGACTTGATCAAATCAGAGGCTGGAAATACAAGTTTTTAATAATAGATGTGTAGGTGAGAGTGAGCTCACTAGATGGCAGCAGTATACCACATTATCCAAATGTAGATCAGATCAGAGACAGTCGGGTACATGCATACTGAAATATCCTATACAGTGTCATCAAGCAGTTTTCAGATAGAAATTACTTGATCCCTGGCCAAGAGAAAAAAGGGACCTATACTCTAATAACTGATGTTATTTCAAACCTCACCGCTTTTACACTGGCACAAGGGAGAATTTACAGTAGCCTAGGGGGGAACAACAATAAATATAAAGGTATGCTGTACATAAAAAAGTCCACCAAGGTTTCAGAGAACAGCTCCGTTTCCATCTGATGTCTGAGATGTCGACCTGCTGAACCTTGTCCCTGACACCCTCTCCTGCCTGAGCTTCCTCTGAAAAAGCAGCAACATTTTTTTCCTGAATTTCTCTCCCACGAATGCATAGAGGACAGGGTTGATGCAGCTGTGGAGCAGAGCCAGAGAGTTGGTCGCAACCAAAGCCACGTTCACTGACTTCCTCATAGCACAGTTAAATTGCACCATATCGGCCCTCAGGATCGTGTCTACTATCATGGTTATGTGGTACGGCGTCCAGCACAGCACAAATGCAATCACCACGGCTATGATCACTTTCATTGCTCGGTGCTTCTGGAAACCACGAGTTCGCAGCAGCCTTGCGATGGTGATGCTGTAGCAGGTCAGCATAATACACAGAGGGAGCAAAAAACCAAAGAAATGGCGGAAAAAGCGTGTGGCAAGCCTCCATGAAGAGGCACTGCCAAAGTCAAAGCTTTCAGAGCAAACCAACCTCTCTGAGTCTTTGTCAAACTTGTAGGTTTCATTGAAAAGTGCAGGCAGACTGAGGGCCCCACCAAAGGCCCAGATTGCTGCACAAAGGATCCGGCTGCAAGTTTTCTGGTGGTTTCTGATGCTCTCACCGGCGTGCACGATCGCAAGGTAACGATCAATGCTAATACAGGCCAGGAAGATGATGCTGGTGTAGAAGTTTGCTTCGATGATGAGGCTGAGGAACTTGCACAAGAAGTCTCCAAAGATCCATCCTTGGACCAATGCTACAGCCGAGAATGGGAGGGTGAGGGCCATCAGACCATCTGCTATTGTCAGATGAAACAAATACACATCCGACGGAGTCAGGGGCTGTCTGCTGGTGCCGATCACCAACCCCACCAATAGGTTTCCTGGTATTGCCAGGAAAAAGATGGCTATGAGGATGAAACACAGGATCAGAGCTGCTTTAGGCTCCAGCGGTGTTGTCTCACATGGTAATGTCTTTGGATCAATGTCGAATGTTTGATCGATGGAGAAGGTATAATTCAGTTCATCAAAGAGTTCTTCTGTGAAGACATAGCTGAGTGACATGACTCCTGATGGAAAACAGATTGATAGTAGTTCATTATCACAGCAGTACAAAAACAGTGACTCAGCTTCTGTATTGTGTTCCTCCTCTGTTCTTTACGATGTTCCAGACTTTAAGTTGCACAAAGCAAACACAATTTAAAACCCTGTATATTCTCCTTTGTTGTTCAGTGTTGACATTGTAAAAAACAACAGAATGAGCGAGAATAATATCATTATTTCTAATTTAAAAATTAAAAAAACGCTATTTCCTACAATTTGTGAAGTTCCATTGTACAACTTTAAAATGGGCTTTTTCAACAGTGGTCACTGTAACTACAAGTGACAGTTTTGAGACAACGGCTAATCTTAAACTGAACTGACTCAGGATCATCAAATTACACAGAAAGATATGAAAGGTTGCTAACATCAGCTAACCCTGGCTGCAGCAGCAAAATCACTCAAGGTGGATTTATTGTTTATGAATGCAACTTTTTATGTATATGAAGAAGATTGGGTTCTTTCGTTTTTCAAAAGTTACATAGTCTCACTTTAATACTCACAAATTTATCCCTCTAGTTACCACCTGTGGGAATAGACTAGTTCAGATACTCACCTCCTGCAGAGGCTTGGTTACAGCTTTCGAAGATGACAACAGTTTGACATACAAGGTTGTGCCAAAGAACATCCTTTTATATGTGATTTATTATGGGTTTTTTCTTAGCCAATTTCCTGCCTGCTTCCCCAATATGTTACTGCATCGGTGTCGTCAAATGTTTTTGCAGCAACAGAACATCCTCAGACATTTTAACACGTCACAGTATAGGAAAAAAAGTACAGGTGTAAATGATGGAACTAAGGATGGCTGGATTTCATTTAACCAGTTCAACCTCATGGTCCTGGCACTGTACATGCTGGCTCACAGTCACATCCTGTGTCCTGACTTACTGGGACATATTAATAACACCTGTGCTTTTCCTGCTATGACAAGTCAAAGTCACTGCTGTGAAAAACGTCTACTGTTTGACCTTCTGATTGAAAGATTGAAAAAAAGAAAAGATGCCATAAGACAAAAAGGAATATAATTGTGTTCATTTGATTTGTTAAATCACTATATGTAGCCTTACTATAAGGAGATTCAGTTTATTCATCCATAAACATATGGGCATTACAGTGCTCACATCCTAATCAACCAACAATTAAAAGCATGATGAAAACAAAATGAAAATATATTCCTAAATAAAATACACAGCCTTTGAAAAAAAGAGACCTCATCATCAGAATAGTAAAAGAAAATCCTCAATAGCTCGATATTTCACATATAAATTAACTGATACATTCAAGAAAGTCCTGAATGCATGTTTTGGAATAACTAGTTGTAACTCACAAGATAACATGAGGTCTTAGTACTTGTTATCTGACCCTGTATAATGAAGTTATTGGGTAATCCTGGGTGTGTTGTAAAGTGTATTTACAAATCGGCAGGTCAGGATGTCAGCCGTGAGACTTTCTGGAAATGAAATGCTGTAATGTTCTCTCTTGCTGTTGCAAAAGTCAAAGGTAATTCCCCTGATTTGATGCCACACTGTGTCTACTGTTAAACCTCTGAAACAAGCTCATTTTTCCATCTCTTATTACTGAATAAAACTGCTGTCGTTCTAAACCTGCATGAGGAGGAATGAGCCCCCCCCCCCCCCCCCCCCACATCTGTCTACATCCATTTTTTCATATATTTTCTTGCATATTCTGTTTTTATAATTTATTTTGCGAGTATTTATTTCTACAATTAGATGTATCTTTTTATTTTATCCAGCTAAAAGTTGAGATTTCTGTGATTTCGTTGAGCCAAATTTCTGCGTTACATGGTGTGACAAAGACGCAGAGAAAAATGACAAACATACATCTGTAATGACAGGGGACCCAGTTGAGTTCCTCCCCTTCTCCATCCTACCGTAAAGGTTAATGTGTATTCAAACACAAAAGCATCTTCCCTCCCTCCCCTTTGTCTCCATAAATCACTTCATTCACATCTTGATAGGTAAAACACACAATAATCAACATAGTAGCGTGTTGCATCACTGCCGTCGCCCCTAAGACTGTCATATATCGGCAAGTAAATGGAGCCTTAATGACAGTCCTGTGCTGTTGCCAGTCTCCATCAGGAAGCATGACAGCCCCTAACCAGAATGGCCTGTTTTTAGGCTGTTCAACAGTGTGGGTTTATGTGCGTTTGTGCATGTAATGTCACAGTTGGAGATTTTGTATTTCAGTTGAGCGAATGTGTAATTGCCATGGTTAAGTTTATCATGCATGTGAATGAAAAACATCAGTAGGAGGAAAATAAACTGACCTAAACATGAGGAATAAAGCATGAAGCAAAAGTAAATTTCAATTTTGTTTTAGTCTTATATTTGGTTGTTGTCATAGTTTCATCTCTTTTTCTTGTAGTTACAGGGTAAAAATTATTGTTATTGCTTAAATTATACAATTCCTCTGCAAACATATACAGCATACCTGCTAAAATACTAAAGCACTAAAATGACATCTGAAACTCAATAATTCTTTCAAAAAACATTTGGATTAATGAAAAAAAAATGAAATTAAATAGAAGTAAAAAAGAATAAAAAACTAATCCTTGAGTGTTATTGTTATTTGCAACAATGCAAAAAGTCAGATATCGTATAGTTCCTAAGAAAGCATGCAACTGAAGTGGAATCCACTCTGACCACTGGGACGTCGCGTGTTCGCTGTGCCACCTGCTCTAAGCATGAATTTGCCCTAATGAACGTGACAAATTTTGCACTTTATGTCTCTTCAATCAAACAGTGTGAAACTTGGCATAGACCCTATCTTCTCAAGAAACCCAAATACTTTCCCCTTCTCTGGAAATGCTTGATCGGCATCTGTTTCATCTTCTTCCGACGAAGAGAAAATATTGACTGCCATCTTCATTCCTTCCAGGTCAGAGGATGCACATGAACATACTGCATATGACTCCATCGTCTCATCAACACGATTTGTTTCTAACGTAACATTGGAAACTGGAGATGAGTCCTGTTGTAATCCCTTTCACGTGTGGCGGTATCTGTTCTTTTTTTTTACGAGTTTCACTGTTTTACAAGGCACTGACCTTGTGACATTATTTGCTATCACCACCTGAATGTCCTCTCAGCTCCTTTTTCTATTAGTTTCTATATTGACTATATTGGGATAAAACTTCATAATCTGTATGAGTGCTTCCACCACTTCTGATCACAGATTTTGGCTATGATCAGTTTTACCAAGGGCTATGAAATAAAATTGAAATTCCATTCATCTCTGTTGTCTAGTGGGGACAGCTCATCTCACAGATTTATTACTTACAGCCTCAGCAGTGGCATCAGCACAGCTAAAGAACCAAAAGGAGTTGGGGAAAAAAAGCTTTTTTTGTGGGTGGATTTTGTAATTTGGGTGAAGTGACCCTTTTAATTTGTCTTTGGCTCAGTTCAGCAATATCCCTGTATAGTGCTCCTAATTCTAATTATTGTGCAGACATTCTATCTGGATCGGTCATGTTGCTGTTTGAGAAATGAAAACAGCCTCTGAACTCCACAATGTCTCTGTGACAGCACGGTAGATGCAGCCATCTGATCTGAGAACCCCTATTGTTGTCCCTCAGAGTAAAAGAGAAAGAAAACAAGGAGGGAGGAAACAAAGACAAAGTGTTTATTTATCCAAATTACACAAGGGCATGCTGTGAATACAGGCACTCTGATCTTCCTCAAGGCAGTTATTTTTCTGTGGCACTCTGTTCCTTTAGTTGCATATCAGGAATGAAATCTAGCACGGTCGCTAATCTCTTATCAAAATATACTTCACTTCACAAGAAGGAGCACCTGATCGAGTCCAGTTTTACCTGAGCTCGTACAGGACAACAAGACCAAGCCTGAATGGCACAGGTCATGCGTTTGATCTACTACTATCTGTCATGTGTTGCTCCATCAAACTCAAATACATTTTATCAATTATATTTAATCACTTATATTTTTTATTATTCATTTTCATTATCATGAAACTGTTGATGATTTGTATTACAGCCTAAAAACACACCTGAAACAATTCACTGATTATCAAAATAATAGTTGATTAATCTTCTAATGAATTATTATCTCTACTGAAAATGGTGGTTAAAATCACATGTTCAGAACAGTCTTGTTGACTGCTGTGCTGCTATTAAGAATTTGAACACTGCATTAATATATGAGCTGTTATATGTCACCAGTGGTACTGAATGCTGGCTGTGTCCTTCATTAATGTATTATCATTATTATTATTGATATTATTATTACTATTGGTAGTTTATTACATTCTTGAACTTCTTCTTTCACCAAACCACTGAACTGAAAAGCTCAAAATTACTGGATAATGAGCTGTGACACATCAGTAAAACCTGGATTGTGTTAGCAATGTCAGAATCTACTGCTGATAATTATTTTTACATACCTTGTAATTAGACTGACGCCTGTGTTTTCTTTTACTACCACTTATATTGATCATGTGAAAGGCTCATGTATGTCGTGGTTGCTGCCTGTCTGTCTTGTTTGGCAGATGCGAAACACAGCTAGGTATCTGTATTACGACATCTGCTTTAAATAAACCACAAGTTGGCAGTTTATTAGGTACACCTCACTGAAATTTATTCAGTCTAATACAACAGTCTTGTAATAAATTCAACTTTTCTTCAGTTTTTATTAAAATTGTTTTAGAGAGGAGATTAATAGTACTGCATCATACAGAGAGGAGTTTCTCTTATTTAGCCTACCCTCAATGATATAAATGGGGAGGACAAAATAATAAAAACACCTGTTAGTATAACACAATGCATGGCAACAACATTAGAGACTACAACCTACATTATCATCTAGTTGGATCAACACCTTTAAATATGCATAAAACCATCCAAATAAAGTTTTTTTTTTTAAAAATCAAATTTTTTGATTAGTTGTATAATCAATAAAAAAGAATACAGACAAATATCCATCTCAAGTCTGAGATGAAGTTTTAAAATGTGGACCCTGTGAATTTGGGGGGGGTTTAATTAAAAAGAAAAACTAATCAAATTAGTTGCAGATTTTTTACTTTATTTTACTCTATTTGTGTAATTCCCTTGCAATTAATCAAATTCCTAAAACACAACTGAAAAACCATTGGCTTTGGGGGCCCTGCTTTGCTTGCAGTTTGTAGTTTGCTCTGCTTTGGGGCTCATATTATTTATTTTACATACTGTGGGGAAGCTTGTGAAACCCCCACAAACAGCCCCAGGGTCAATAATGGCTTATTTTGTGATATAAATTACAGTATTTGCCTCTGAATAATAGTGGATCATAGGTATGAAGCAGCATAAAATGAAATGGAAATACTCAAATAAAGTAACAGAGCAAACATAGTAGCCTATTCCACCATTACAGAATTGTTATTGCGAATTTATTACAGGCAAGATCGCAGCCGTCCTCGTTTAATCGGGGTCCTGAGTGTAAAATACGCGGAAGCGACAGGCGGAAGGAGCCTCGACGGAAACGGTTTAGTCTGTCAAGGGAGGAAAATTTTGCAGAAATTGACACAAAGAGGTTAATCCCACCTCATAGCTCCATCTGATCATTCCCCCCTTTTCCTCGACAC